CGCGACAAAATGGCGTGAGGTTAATCGACATTGTCCGGCGCGCGGTGGAAGGGAATCGAGCGTGTGGATCGAGTTTAGCATCAACGAGGGTCTGTAATCCTAACGCTCGGCCCAGGTCGAAGGATCTCGCAGTAATCCACGGCTAGGATCGAGCTTAAATCGCTTCTCGTGACACTAGCTGAACAATCCTCGCCCCGGGCTCAGCATCCTAGACAGACCCTGCTACCTCGACCGTAAAGGACCACTCGAGCACCGTAAATCCATCGTCGCGCTTGATCCTGGTACCGAAGTCCTAGGCATTATCCTTCCGGAGCACGCGGCTTGTCTTTTTCTTTTTTTTTTCTTTTTACATAACTTTCTCGAAACGATCCGCTCGATGGTAAAAATCGATCCGCCCGCAGCGGCACTTTGCGCCGCAAATGACGCAACGGCGCGAGAATTCGGAATGACGACGGAGTAAAGCCGAATATGACACCGTTTTACGTAGCACGCGGCGCACACATCCGTCACAAAAGTTTCTCCCGCCGGAGATCCCGCCGTGATCAATATCTGCCGTCCCTAATCAATATTCGTATTTGGCATCGTCGAGGCATCTATCAAGGTTCTATCAAGATTGAAAGCCCAAGTTTCGAGTAAATAAAGTTACTCCGTCGCGCTTTGTAAAACGTATTCGGGTTCGTTCGTTCAACCCTCAGCATCTCTCTCTCCTTGCTTCGTCTTTCGCCCCCTTCCCTTCTTTCTCTCTCTCTCTCTCTCTCTTTCTCTTCATTTCTGTCATTCCACTTCTACTTCTCCAGCCTTCTTGTATAAGTCCCCGGACTCGACGAAACTCGATCGCATACAATCGATAATTCTAACGTGAAATTGAGCTTTGGCAAGGAGGAAACGGCGGCTAGAGGAAATACTGTAGGAAGAGAAGAGGCAGAGAGAGGAGAGAGGAATCGAACCGATACGTTCGTCTCGGTCTTTTTAAAATTAACCTGGGTCGCGTAGCCGATGAGGGAGGAAAACGACGGCAACGCGAATACGTTGCGGATTATCTTCTGACCGCGTGCGAAATGCAGATCACGGATGGCGCGGTCGCGATATCGGCACACGTCAGATGCGTAGTAAGCTTTAAAAAGAGAAAAGCTCCGTATATTCGCCAATGGTTGATCTTCCTTCCATCGATTCCGTCCTCTTCCACCTCGATATGGATATTCGCAAATTCATTTTAAGCTCTCAGAGACGGTATTAACGAGATGGTTCATTATGCAAATGAGAACATGTGATTAACGTAGGTTGCTTGGTCCTTTTTTGTGTAAATGAGCTTAATTATAGGCTGAAATTCAATATCATATTTGGCAGTGCGAAGGGAGAAAGCTATCGTGTGTTGCTTGAAGGATGCTCTCTTTATTTTTGAAACGGTACCTTCACTCTCTTAAAGTGAATCAGTGAATAGTCATTGATATCAGTTATGAGTATAGCATTGAGCACTTTCAGTGCTATACTTATAACTGCAATCAGTGTATATTCACTGTTTTTAGTGATATTTGATTGTTTTATTTCAAGAGAGTAACGAGTTAATCCTTCGTCGACGTGAAAATCTTTCTCAAGTATGTTATTATTCATTCAGTACGCGGTATTGCTACGTTATTTAGTTGTTACGTTATTTAGTTGGCTTTAGTCAGCGTGTAATACGTTACAATAGTTCATAAGTCGCACATGTGGGCTGTGTTCTGACTTGAAACCAATATGTTGCTGGTAACTCCAAGTTCTCCGTCTTTCTTCCTTTCTCTCTCTTACTTTCTCATACACATACATTTCTCTTTCTCTCTTTGCCTTCAGGTGAACGATCGCGAACAATCAATAATCCCGCCTCGTGAAATCGAGCACGAGCGAAACGTGAGTTGCTGGTCGTTCCGTTCGTCTGGAACTTTAAAAATTAACCCCGCGCGCTCGTGAACGGCCATTCGCCATCCACTGTAGGAAGGAACCAAGGCAGGAAAATAGATACAGGGACACTCTCGTCGGCGTCACCGTCGATTTTCCAGCGATTCAGACTGGAAAACTCCTCGGGCTCTGCGTTCGTCCTTTCCCTCCCTCTCCTCCTGCTCCTACTCCTTCTTCACCTTCTCCTTTTCCTCTACCTCCTTCTTCTCTCGTCGATACTTGGACGTCGTAAATCTTGCAACGAGAAAATGCCTCCTTTTTCGTGCGTCCCCTTACCCCCTCGCGTTGCCCGCCCAAGCTCGGCGTTTCCTCGCCCAGGGCGAACGAGGGAAAAGAAGAAAAAAAAACGGAGCAAAAGAGAAGAAAGCTCACGAAATGTTCTCGCTTGACGACGCGTCGCCGTATTTATACAGTTGTAAAATTCAATCGTCAACCTCGGGCCGCCGGGAGAAGAAGTACTCGCCGCTCGGAAAAGCGTCTGTCTCTCCGACGTCGACGTTATCGTTTACGGTAGAGTTACCGTAAATCAGCGATTCTCAAACTTTTATAATGACACGGTAGCTTTCCCTACGCGAAACGAAACTGCGCACAGGGCAACAGTGTCAACGCAAATGCGAGAGAGTTTGCACAGTAATTAAATTCTCTTTCCTCCCGTCCGAGTCTATAGCGCGTAACACGATTTTCAAGTGCGTACTTTTGTTCCCCTTTCCGTTCGTCCGCTTCCTTTTTTTTTTTCTTTCGTTTCCGCTTCTGCCGCGCGATTCGCGCCGCGAGATCCATCAATCCCCATGAGGAAACACCGGCGCGCGTCACTCCCCGTAGCGACCTGAAACTTCCTAGACGCAAATTCTCGCGCGATATATCGCCGACGCGGGGAACGGCGCGGTAAATTAGTGCCCAAATAGCGCTCATTGTTGGCACACGCCCGGGATCCGATTTGCGAGGCCCGGGCCAGCTAGCTTAACGGGAGAGCTATCGACAATAGCCGGAAACAAAGGCGGCGGCCATTGTGACGCCCGTTCGGTCACATCGCCGGCGATGGCGATATAGCGCCATGGCCGACTTGGGCAGCGGAGGCAGAAACCAAAAAAGAGAGAGGAAAAAAGTAGGAACAAGATAGAGGGAGGCCGGGAGAGGAGGAAAAAAGAGAGAGAGGCGGTTAATTTCCCATGAAAGTAACGATTGCCGCGGAAAAATAGTGAGAGGGAACAGACGCGCGGTATATATCACATACGGTCGGCGCCGCTGACTGGTCCCCGGAGGCTGCGCCGCTCTGGAGCACGCGATGTTTTGCTGCTTCTCCCGCGAGCAAGCGAGCGCCAGACTACATTCACTTTCGAGGGTTATCAGGAGGTCCCGCGGGAGAGAAAGAGAGAGAGAGAGAGAGAGAGAGAGAGAGAGAGAGAGAGGGGGTCGCTTTGTCCAGCGGATCCCATATTTCAAGGGACCTCGTTGAAAAGCCCTGTACCGTACGTGGAGTGCGCGTACACACCGTTCCGCGTCGTATATGACCGTCGTACGTTTCTCAGCTAGCAGGTTGAGGTAAGGGGCGCAACATTGACAAATGTCTCGGGCTACCCCACCTTACCCCTCTCGTCTGCACCCGGTTCCTCGTTTTTTCCCGTCTTCACTCTTCCTTCTGGTTTAGCATCCGACAAACGCACGTGTTTATAGACGCGTTTTCGCCGCGCGGCATTCATTTCCGGCGGGATGAGCGTGCGAGCGATTTCATGGCTCGGAGAAGCCCTAATTTTCGTACAAATCGCGCGGCTGAGGAAGGGAGCCTAGAGGGAGAGGAAGAGAGAGAGAGAGAGAGAGAGAGAGAGAGAGAGAGAGAGAGAGAGAGAGAGAGAGAGAGA